AATGTGTTTTTTATTCATTAATGTCTGGAAAATAAAACATTTTTTTAATAGCTGCTGTAAAGGGAGTGAGCACTAAATAGGATAAATGACTGGAATTCAGGAAGGTACAATGGCAAGGTCTAACTTAGTGGTTAGTTTGCTTTCATTATCCTACACCAACAATCCTGACATGTAACTACCCACCCAGCTTTCATATGGCAGGAGTTGTCTGGGGTAATTGTGGTTTATTTTTCAAGTCACTTTGCTATGTTTGACTAAAAGGTTAATATCTACTGTGGGCAGTCTTGATTGGATATATTTACTGTATAGATATATTTACTGTACTATATATAGCACAATGTGGTGATTTATACATTTCAAATAGTCAAGTGCTTATCCTTGTCAATAAATTAAAAATAATCACATTTTAGTTTTAAAGAAATTACAAGTAGGCACTGCTATTCAAGAGTAAGAGACACTGAATAAACATAAAATTAGGGAAGCTCCTACACAATTGCTAAATTGTAAGGTAGTTTATAAATGAGGATTTCAGTAAAGGGAACTTTGTTTTTATTGTAAGGGCCCCATTTTGTGAATGTGGTTTGATAAGAAGAAACCACCCTAAGAATCCTTTTTGCAATTGTTTTCAAATGCAATTCCATTTGACACCTGAAAAAAACAAAACAAGTTGATGCGTCCCTAGGTTATAACTGGCCTAACCATTTAGAAAAGACAATGATTTTAGTTCTAAAATAACTTTTTCTTTTATTAATTACCTACATTATTTTAAAATACACACAATTATTATTTTTACAAATAATTTTTAAAATTTTATTTTCAACTGTGTGTGTTTGTGCCATTTGTACACGGGTGTCTGAAGAGACCAGAAGAGGAATCTGGATCTCCTGGAGCTATATTTATAGGCAGTTGTGGGAGACTGGGAACCGAGTTTAGGTTGAAGGAACTCTCTGTACTCTTGACTGCTGGGTCATCTCTCCAACCCCCCCCCCACACTACATTTCTATTTCTCTTTTATATTCAGATGTTTAAGAATAATCATCATGACCACAAGCAAAAAGTGGAAGCCATGATTAAGAATATTAATACAATTTCTTTGGAGATGAAGAAGATGAAAGGTAAGGAGGGAGTCAATCAGCATATTTGCATGCCACTGCTATAAAAGATACTGTAGAGCTAATTTGTGCTTTAGCTAGGGTAGTGTTCCTACTAATTATAACTGTCCTGTTAAGAAGTATTTACAGTGGGGCTGGAGAGATGTTTCAGCGGTTAAGAGCACTGGTGTTCAAGTCACACCACCCAAATGGCTGTAACTCCAGTTCCAGGGGATCTGACACCCTCATGCAGACACACATGCAGGCAAGACACCAATGCACATAAAAATAAAATCTAAAAAAGGAGGAATTTATGGTATATTCTCAACTGTATTTTTTGAAAATGCTAGGACTGAATCCCTATTTCTGACACTAAGAACTTATCTAACCTTTCTAAATTTACCTTCCTTCCTTTCCTTCAACAATTACATGACTATCACGTTCCAAAAAATTCATCCATGAATTGTGACTAAACCCCTGAAGTTATGCCAGATTGAGTTAAGTTTGATTCTGTACATGAAGTGGTTTTCATTTTAAATATATTCTTAGTGTAATAATAAATCTTAAAGGTCATGGTATTTAGTTAGTTATAGATATGTTCTCTTATTTTCTGCTAGCCATGTAAAATTTCTGTGATTGAGTATTTCTAGGGATAAGCTCTCCCTGAGGCAGCATGCTGGAGAACTCTGTCATCAGTTAACCCATTTCATTTTAGGTAGTTCCTTAGGGATTAGCTGGAATCTGTACCCCTACTCTCTTCATCTATAGGCCCCATTAACTATCCATAAAAGCGATTTTGGGTGTAAAATTATTTTTACAGCTCTAAGATTTTTGTAGATATGGTCTATCATTTCTGAGACCTGCAGCTGCAAAAAACAAATACCGAGCTAAAGTGATGCCCACCACGAGGAGAGACAATCCAAAGTAAGGGCAGCCCTGAAATTGATTCATCAAGGAGGGGCCAGGTTTCCCATCTTTCTGCTCTTCCATGTATACTCATCATTACTCCTGAGGTGACCACACACAGATGCTATTTCTGCCTGTGATACCTTTTTATAAGCCTTTGTCCAGATAGCTCCAGCGATTCTCCTTTCCTTATAAAGATGTGAGGGCTTAGATAGAGGGCTTGCCCAGCATGCACAAGGCCCTGAGTCCAGTCTCTGGTACTGAAAAATAAATACCTTGGGAGAGAAGAGACTTGTAATAAGGGAATGGTCAAGTTCTGAATAGGGAGAGAAACAATTTACTAACTAGGGGACATTTGAGGTGTCATGTTCCTCATTTTAAAAATGAAAAAACAAAAAACAAGTATAGTTAGGAGCAAGCCTGCACCTCCCCCCAAAAGTGGGATGATGTGTACTTACAAAATCCAACTCTTAAAGAGGGTCTATGTAAGTAAAATTGAAAGCTAAATATGGAGTTAGTAAAAGCTTTCCCCTTCCAGTATAGTTGGAGGAGTGGGGAGTCAGTGAAAGTGAAAGAATGTTGTCTTTGGTCAGGACCAAATGCCAGGAATTGAAAGGAAACAAACAAATAAACAAAAACCTCTTTTGAGATATAGAGAGAAATACTAACATACTCATAACTACCCTGTCTTCATCTGCTTTCTGTTCCTGTAATTAAACTTCATGACCAAAAGCAAATTGGAGAGGAAAGGGTTTATCCCACATTATAGCTGGCAGTCAATCATGAAGGGAAGTCAAGCAGAGACCACAGAGAAATGTGGCTCACTGGCTTGCTTCTCTTGGCTTACTCCGTATGCTTTCTTACACACCAAGACACCTGCCCAGGGATGGCACTGCCTACATCCACATCACCTGTCAGTCAAGAAAATAACCCCACAGGCTCATGTCCAGGCCAGTCTGAGGTAGGCAATTCCTCAATTGAAATCCCCTCTTCCTAGATATGGCTGGGTTTGTGTCAAGTTAACAAAGCTTAATAGGCACACTACCAAAGGAGGGCAACCCCTCCCCCACACACACCCAAAGAAAACAAAAGTCAAGAAAAGTTGAAAGCAAACGCTTGTCTTTGTAATGTCTTAGGGGTGGCTCCTGTTCTTTGCACTGTGTGCATATGTAAGTTAGCTAAGTTTAAGACTTATTTACACAGTGTTGTAGTGTGGAAGGCCTTTCTTGTATACCCATGGTTTTCGGTCAAAATGGGTCATACCTCAGTAGTAGCTTCATCAGTAAATATTTAACAAACATCTTTAGAAATTAGGAAATAGTAGTTACTATGACTCCAGTGATACTCTGTCTTCTCTTTTACACAGAACTCTCCCATATCCTGCTGTGTGACCTCAATCTCCATTTTGGTCAGCCCAAGAAGACTGAGGACCCCAAAGAAGCAGAAACAAGCCACCAATTTGAAGAGCCTGAGATACCAGATGTAGCTCTTGCTTCTATCAGTTTATCTGACTAAATTTTTTTTGTATTTTTTTTAATTTCTGGTTTATTGACTTAAATCTGTAATAACTAAGTTTACTATTATAATTTAAAACAATATAAAATTATAAATATGGAAATTATCTTCTTGAAAGATGCTCTTTTTTTGTTTGTTTTTGTTTTGTTTTTGATGTCTCAAGGGAAACTGATTCCACTAATGCTGGAAGTCTGACTTTGGAAACTGACCTGTGTGTGGTATGTTGGCCTCATTCTCCCTGCTATAGACAAGCTTCCTTCCTGGGATGGGTAAAAGGAGGCAGTAAGTAGCACAGCAGCAGACAGCTTTGCCTTTGGGGCCTAAAAGAGACTTCTGTTTCAGAGAGGGACCTGGATTGGCCTGACTTTTGCTAAGATGTTAATCCATGAGCAAAGAGATGAGCAGTGGTGATAGGTCCAGTTGATATTATAAGGCCTATGGTTCAGATAGGCAAGACTGGCGGAAGGATTAGAATTGAAAGTACCCAAAGAAGCAGGAGACTCCCATGATTGTAGTCATAGGGGTAAGAGAACACGTTATCCACAGGTTCACTTTTGCCCCTTTGCCCTAAGAGACTCAAATACATTTGTCTCATTTATGCACTGCTACTTTTCTTGTTTCAGTGAGCAAACACTAAAGAGAAGAAGGGTAGTTTGGACTTCTACTTGGAGAGGATTTGGTTGATGATGGCAGGGAGGGGAAGGTGGTGGGCTCTGAGGCAGCTGGTCTCATTGTGTCCACCATTATGAAGCGGAAAGAGTACTCGGCACTCAACCCACATTAGAGTGGATCCTCACACACACCCTCAAGGGATTCTAAAATTCAGTTAAGTTGACAGATCTAACCACCTGAAATGCCAGTAGATACTTTGAGATCTACCATGTCCTTCTATTTCTTCACCTTTAGATATAAAAATGCCTGCAGTGTCCTGCTGCCCTCTCCCCAGGACCTAGTTCAGTGCTTTACACAGTACAGATGCTGTGTAATTAATATAGTGTTTAAGCTTTAGCATTTCCAAGTTCTGCATCCTAAATTGAGAACTCTGAGTTTATAAGGATGCAGTTTTGTAGAACATTGTCATTTGTTAAGCATCAACCTGGTGATTTCTAAGGTCCCTTCCAAAACTGTATTTTTCTTTTGTTTATTTTCAACTTATGAAAATAAAAGTGTATTCTTTCTCACTTGAAATTGTGTAGATCAGAGAAATAAAAACATTTGTCTACTGAAAATCTCAAAAGAATGAGATTGGAAGGACAAGGCATGTCAGTGTTTGGTGAATTCTAGGCTATGGCTTGCTGAACATGTAACAGTACTGCAAAATTTTCTCAGCCTACACTGATATCTTTATAGTGACAAGGGGAAATACTGTGAACTGAAAATTCATTTACTGACAATACTTAGTGAACATCAGAGCTCAGCATAGCCTGCCTTAATGCTCAGGTCACACACCAGTCTGCAGCTGGGCAAAGTCACCTAATACAAACTCTGTTTTGTCTTAAAATGCTGACTATATTATTTAATTTATTGAATTTCCATATGTCCCCTGGAAAAGGAAAAAAAAAAACCCACCTGCAACATATTACACTGAACATACTGGTGTGTACCCTGCAGTCATAAATGGTAAAGCAACATAAACATAAACCCAACTGTACGTTTTAAAAGGGTGATTTATAGATTGAAAGACAGTTGAGGTGCTTTTAAAAGTTCATAAGTCCATCTGAGAAGGATGAGACAGACGGGAGTCACAGCACACTTGTAAGCAGAACTGAGGTTTGGGTAGGTAATCTCCAAAGGCTCCTGTGTTAGAGGCTTGACAGCCCCCTGCCCTGCACAGGGCAATAGTGGTCAGTGGCAAGACATAGAAGGCAGAGCCTAGTGGGATGGAGCTGGGTCAGTAGGTGCATACCCTTGAAGGGGAGTACTCAATCTTCTTTCCCTTTTGCTTCCCAGCCACAGTGAGGTGAATGAATGTCCTCCACACATTCTCACTTCAATACCCTGTATGAACCATCATAGTCCAAAAGGAACAGGAACAAACAACCATACTGAGCAAAAACTTTCCACTGAAAACCAGCTAATACAAGTGGTGGGCTAGAAATGAGTGTGTGCGCGTATGTATGTGCATGTATGTGTACAAAGCATTGCTTCATCTTCCCAGGAGATCTTTTCAAGACTGGCATGGACAGTTACACTGTGGATGTAGATATGGGAGGATGGATAAAGAAGCAATAGAAATGGCGTGTTTGACAGCAAAGCTGCAGCACTGAATCTAAAACCATTTTCTTCTTACAGAATTTGTAGCTTACATTTACTTTAAAACCAAAATATAACAGTGTGGAGTAAACAATAAAGTTGTTTTAAGGGTCTAGAAGAGTAAAGAGAAAGATTTAATTCCAGGAAGTTGTCCCAACATGCATTTATCTCAAATATGGAAATTACATAAAAAGTACTTTCCACAAAACCAAATAAGAAAGAATGAAGTTATGTTTTTAGAGCCTCAAGTTAATTGTTTTAAGTTGTGTAAAAAACAAATTGCCTCAGATTGGCAAAATTTCATTATAAAATGTGTGCTATCAAAAGTGATCAGTTCTAGTACTTCTTGAACTTGCCCACATTATTTCTACAAAATGTAAAGTGCTGGATTTTGAGATGGATTGTTCAAAATCTCAGGTCTTGAGATGAAGTACTGCAATGCACTCAAACTTCATATGTGGACGTGATTACTTCTGCACTTTGCAGACATCGAAGAACATAAATAAGTTATGGGGTATTTAGCAATCTTCAAACACTTTTTAAAGGAAAGGGCAAAACTCTGTGCCTGAATGGCGGGGCTTGCTTTAGTCCTAAGTGTCCATCCATGTCCTAAGGTCGCTTGATCTTCCCTCGTTGATGACAGGGTCAGGAACGTTGATTTGCTTGACTGACTTGCTATGGACACCCTGCAGCGTGTGTCAGTGTGCACTGGTATCTAGAGCCTCTGTTTTTCCCATCAATGAGCAACAGTGGCATTTTCCTGAAGTAGTCAATAATATCTGATACAGACAGAAAGTCCTGGAAAATTCAAATGGGAAGATGAGTTAAGCTTGGAGTGGTGGAATGGACAATACACATTTTATAAATGCAGTTTTGTTTGTTTGTTTCTCATTTTGCATCAGCTTGGGGAAGTTGTGGGAAAAATAAAATTTGTCAGTATTTTATAGATATCCTCATCAATAGTCAACAAATTTTAAGTAAGTGATAACAATGTTAGGTTGGGACAGCAAGATAACTCAAGTTAGAGGCCCGATGACCTGAAGTCAATCCTCAGGTCCCACACAAAGGGAAGAGAGAACTTATATTATACAAGTTGTTCTCTAATCTCCATACATGTGCCATGGTTCACACAAAAAAAAAAGGTTTTTTTTTTTTTTTAAAATAAAAAAATTTTAACCTCTGTAGTAGCTCATAAACTAAACATTTCCATCATGATACCTGTGGCTTGGTATTAGTCTTTGGGTTTTCTTTTTTGTTTTGTTTTGTTTTCTGTTTTTTTTTTTTTTTTTAATTTTTATTTATTATGTGTACAGTGTTGTCTGCATGTACACCTGCAGGCCAGAAGAGGGCATCAGATCTTTACAGATGGTTGTGAGCCACTGTGGTTACTGGAATTTGAGTTCAGGACCCCTAGAAGAGCAGCCAAAGCTCTTAACCGCTGAGCCATCTCTTCAGCTCTGGTTTCTGGCTTTCATTTCTGTTTGGGCTTGTCTATCCCCATATTGCCACAATTCAGACTATCAGGAGGTCTAAGGTACCAGGAGGTCAGATTGGTGTCATTTCTGGAAGGAAAGCTTTAGCGTGGTGTAACCATTCCTTCCCTTTGACCTCCACACTGATGATGAGGGCTCAGTAGTCAAGCCTTTGCATCCATAACCTGGATCATTCAGTACAGGCACACTGGTCCCACTCATGCCTGGACCAGAATTCAAGTTGCACCTAAACTGAATTATGTGGTTGTTCCAAGACAAACTGTCCAGATACCTCCCTCTGAGGAAACATGTTTTCATGTTAGACCCAGAAAAGCCTTGGGAGGTGACACTTTGCCTCTACAGAGACTATGCAGCTCTGTTGACAGGGAGCAAATGTTTGACAGAAATTGTGTTGTTTCTGCTCAGCATTGTCACTGATTTAAAGTATTTGGAGTAAAATTATTAGTGGATTGTTTTCATTCTGTTACTGCTTTGTTCAGCTTATTTGGTGTTTTGTTTTTTATTTTGTGTAACATTAAAAAGATGTCTTAGGGTGTTACATTTGTTTGTTTCCTGCACAAAAGCAGACTGATGGTTATCTTCACACCAAAAAGTGACTTGACCAAAATGTGACTTGACCAAACAGGAGAATTTCTTTAGTAATATGACCATCTTCACAGAGTCAAATGTTTCAATTTAGCAAGAAATCCCCCTCCCAACTATCTCAATAATTACTGTAGCAGTAATTCTAGGTTTCTAGGGATTCAAAATTAAAATTTTTATTTGTTATTGATGTGTACATGTGTGTATGTGCTTGTCTGTATGATTCATGTGAATGCAGTTCCCATGGAGGCCAGAAGAGGGCGTCAGAGCCCTGGGACTGGAGTTACAGGAGGTTGTGAGTCACCCAATGTGAATTCTGGGACTAGAACCCAAGTCCTCTGCAAGAGTAGTAAATACTCGATTTTTGAGCCATTTCTCCAGTCCCTCTTATTTTTATTTATTAAATCTTATTTTAATAAAGTTTTATAGGCATACCATAACCTGACATTGATTATGTCAAAAAGAAGTCAAAATAGATGATACTGCCTTCTACACTTCCTAAATGTATTTTTCATTTTTTTTTTTTTTTAATTTTAAAAGTTACACTTTAGGACTAGAGGTAGAGCTTGGGGTTAGCACCTGACTGGTATGCACAAGGCCCCAGGTTCAGTCCCAAGCACCACAAGCAGGTTATGTCTATAATGTTGGGCTATTTAGAATGAAAACACAAAAAACACCCCTCTAGTGGAATAAGTCACTTGTACTGTTTGTCATCTTTCCTTCAGAAAATGGGGGGGGGGGGCTTCACTACAGTTGTTTAACAGCATTGTTGCTATATACCATGTGACTTAACTGCATAGTTGCTATACAGCATGCATTTAACTGCATGGTTGCTAAGTAGCATGTGATTTAACTGCATAGTTGCTATGTAGCATGGGTTGGGGTAAAGAATGAAGCATGAAGTCCTTACCTCTTTTCCTCGAAGTCCAGTCCCCAACAAGTATACTTGACTTTCCTCCTGGTAACGGATCTGAATGTTGTAAACTTTGTCTTTGTACAACACCATGAGGACATATGGATTGCTTACTGTTTTCTTAGAACTATCTCTTACCAGGAAAGTACCATCCTAGAAGAATAGATGCTTGATGTTAATGGGAGCAATCAAAGTCAATCCTTTTGTTGCTGTTAAAAGACAAGCCAGGCAGGCAAAGCTGTCACTTGTTAATTGACACTGAGTTCTCACAGCTGGGGACAGCAGGTACCCTGGGTCTTTTGATTTTTAAGGAAAACAACTGGGATTGTATCTGAAGTTTGCAAGTTAACATCTTTGAAGCTTTTTATTGTTTTTGTTTCTGTTTTTAGCAACAAGGCTTCTCTTTGTAACCTTGGCTGTCCTGGACCTCACTCTGTAGACCAGGTTGGCTTTGAACTCATAGAGATTCACTTGCCTCTGACTCCTGAACGCTGGGATTAAAGGCATGTGCCTCCACCACCCTGTTGTTGTAGTTTCTCAGTATAAATATTTTTCAGTAATAAAAACAATCCATAGGTGAGTAAGAAATAAGCGATAAGGTGGATCACCTCCTATATACCTGCTTACTTCTGATTGTTTTCTAAACTTGCCTTTTTACACCCTTACTATTTGCCTGTGAAATGCACAGCTCTTTTCCCCACACATTTGCTGTATTTAGCTTTTACCCATCTGACACCTGAACAAAAGTGAATGAGGACTTTGTATATTCTTGTCACCTCTCTCCCCATTACTTTATAAAATGTGATTTGTTCTGTACTTTAAATTTTCATACAAGAATTATTTCAATGTAATAAAACATGACAAAGATCTAATATTAAAATAGAGCTAATTAGTAAGACCAATGTAAATCACTCCCTCCTCTATGTACTTAATTAGAATGGGTTTTAAATGGCCATCAATATGCAGTAACGTCGTTCCTTTGTTCCTTTTGCTCTGAGTTAATTGAGTGAGTCAGAACATAGCTGGTAAAGGAACTTCCCCCAGACCAATGAGCCACAGGTTTGGCTTGAATTCAGGGTCACCTGGGGAGTCTAAAGACTCCCTCAGTCCACCCTGCACTCCCACTTATTAACACAATCTCCTCAAAACTCAGGAACCTAAATAAATAAATAAATAAATAAATAAACAAATAAATAAATAAATAAACCATCCCCAGATGATCAAATCAGCTGCTGAAACTGAAAATGGTTGCTATAGCCTTACCAGTGTGAAGGCTGAAGGGTTGTTGTTCTCCCATGTCTGATCCAGGGACTCAGGGTTATGAGTCAGTACTGGACTTGAGTAAGACTTTATAACATTCAGACTAACTAGAAATGTCTAGAAGACTCTGCAGTTGTGCTTTTAACATGGGTCTTTCTCGGGATCTTGAATGGCAACCAATCATTAAGAGGAAGATAAACTAGTAAGATGTCTGAAATGATGCACGATTCCTTTGACCAAAAAAGAGACACACTCATTAATGAAACTGCCTAAGATCTGCCAACTGAGGATAGTGATGGCTTGGAGGAAACATTCCAGGGATGCTAGCAGGTAGGATGGTAGCACTAATGGCTATTAAAGGAACCGCATCAAGCAGCAGGAAAAGCGGCTAGCTCATACTTGAGTGCCAGTGCATATCAATACCATTCTCTTTCTCCACTCCCATTTATAACTGCATAAACATAAACTGTAGAATGATACCTGGTTTATCTTCCTAAGAGCAGCTTCTGCCTCTGGTCGGGTGATATAAGAGACATACCACTCTTCATCTAATGCAGTCTGCAAACAAGAAATTTTAAAAGCACGGTGAGTTCTGTAGTTACATAAGCAAAGTGAAAAGAAACAAAGGAGGAAGGTTAGTATTTTCCATAATTCTCTGGGCTTTGAAACATTTGTTTTCTTGACTTGAATCCCTTAGATAGGGTTGCATGGAAAACATGTTGTGCAAGCTGCTTCCTTAGCTTGCCACTGACTGCAAAAGCAGCTATGAAGGGAGGAGCTTCCCTTATATAATGGAAACTTTGATCTGGAAAGACAGAGACGAACTTCTCCAGCTTATTATATAGTAGTAACGTAGTTAATGTAAAATCCATTTTAATGGAGCAACTACAAGACTTACTCATTCAAGGCTATAAGCCAGGAAACATGAAAAAAAAAAAAAGGGGGGGATTATTTTCCTCATTTCTTAATGCCCCTGGAAGACGGTGAGGGAACACTAAAGAAAACATTATTTTTCATCTTCATCTTCCCCTCAAGTTTTGGTTTATTGTGTGTGGTGCTGTGGACCCAGGGCAGGGCTTCACCCAATGCAAGGCAAGGGTTTGACCACTGAGTTATACATCTGCCCTCTTAATTAAATGGCGATAAACAAAACTCTAATGGAAGACGCAAATACAGCAGAGCAGCTTAGGAGAGTTTCTTATGGTCCCTTTGCTAGGGAGAAAGGCAAACAAAATTAGAAACAGCTGTATTACCTCTTCTTCCTCAGGAGATGGAGGCTGTGGCCTATTTGGAACTGGCAAGGGTAAGTTTCTGCCTTCATTTCTGAAAGGTGGTCTGTTGCTGGGACCTTTCAAAGCAAAATATTTTAAAAAGTAATTTACTGTCAGCCAGTGTTTTCTCATCTCATAGTACATCCATTAAAGATACCCCCATGACAGTAGGGGTATTCATTTTTCAAGATTAAGAGGTTGGAGGGAGCCTGCATGGGACTGACCTAAGTCCTCTACACATGTTACAGTTGTGTAGGTTGGCCCTCTTGTGGGACTCCTAAGAGCAGGAGCAGGGCTTATCTCTGAGTCTTTTACCAGCTTTTAGAAACCTATTTCCTCATACTAGGTTTTCTTGCCCAGCTTTAATACATGGGGAGATGCTTAATCTTACTGCAACTTGACATGCCATGTTTTGTTGATATCCACGAGAGACCTGTCCTTTCCTAAACAGAAATGGATGAGGACTGGATTAGGGGTGGGAGTGGGAACAGAAGGAGAGGGTGGGGGAGGGACCGGGAAGGGAGGAGGGATGGGAAACTGCCCCCAGGATGTAAAATCAATCAATCAATCAAAAAGAATGTGAGGTTGGAAAAATAATTTCTACCTCTTTCATAATATGAGGGCTGTTTAGGCCATGTTCCATACCATGCTAGTGAAACTTTGAGAAAAGACCCTGGTATTTCAATGAACCCCTAAACATGCATACAGCATAAATGTTGGCCCGTTTATGAAAGCAGCCACATTGTTTGACTATGTGCCTCAATAAGAACGTACCGAAAGCCGACCTTTCATAGAGCCACACGTGGGACGCCTCACCCACAGCCCCCACGTTGGCAGCAGCGAAGAGCTAACTATGCTCTCAGTGTCTTCACAGAGAGAAAGGGAAGGGCTTGAGAACAGGGTTACTTTAGAGCCCGTGTTGGCTGTGCTCTTTCTGTTTGTTTTGGTTTTGCAGTTCCCCAAGATGTAGAACTGCTGGACTAGAGGTCACCATAACTGACCACTTGCTTTAAAATCATCCCAGTGCAGTCTGTCTCACAGACCTTTGCCAGAACATGGACCAATAGCATCAATGTCCCATGGGAACTTGCTAGAAAAGCAGTCACAGGTGACACCCAGCCTTTCTGAGTGAGATCACTTGAACATGATTTCCAGGCATCTGTACTGGGTAGAGAGATTTTACCCTGAAGGGCAGTGGGACCTGGTGGGAAAGAACCTCCAGCAACATCTGTGTGGACACTGAATGTTGAGAACATTCATAGTGGACACTCAGTGGCAGCATCATTGGGAAAGGAAAGCCTCTGACCTCTCCTACTGACTCAGAAACTTCGGTTGTTTTTCTGAGGCATCATCTCATGTAGCCCGGGCTGGCTGAAAACTTGCTCTTTAGCTTAAGATGGTCTTAAACTTTTTTGTCTTAGACTCTTAATCCACCTCCCATGAGTAGAGATTACAAATTTGAGCCACCATATCTGATTTGATTCAGAATCTCTGGGGCTGGGTTCTTGTAATCTATATTTGAATATGCTTCCCAATTCACAACCTGAGAGCAGATTCATCACTGAGATAACAAGGAAGCTAAGCACTACTCTGAGCTCTCTATCAAACCATCAGGGACATAGCTCTGGATGGGAAATGAGGGATTAAGGCTGGCCTGCTGCTGCTGCTGCTGATAGTGATGGTGGTGGTGGTGGTGGTTTTTTTTTTTTTTTTTTTTTTTTTTGTGTGTGTGTAAGTAATTTCATGTAGTGTGTCATTCCAACAGCCTTCATTTAACAATGTTAAATGAAGAAGCCATATACTTTTATGAAACAGCCTTTGCCTAAAGGCGTTGAGACACATTACACTGTTGCCATATGGACATGTTGGTAGGCAGAGATCATAATTGTGTACAAACCTTGAGAGAAGTATGGTGGCAGGGAGGCACTCTGCTGAAAGCCAATGTTACTGTAGAAACAGAAAAAAAACTTTACCACTGTCCCAAGATGGACAAAGTCTAATATGCTTCACAAGCTGAAGGCAAACAACAATAAAAATAATGCTTGTAAACTGAATTTAAAAGCCAATTTTAAAATGGGGCTGTAGTTTGGGGCCTTTGAGTCTACAGAAGGACCAAAGAAGGAAGACAACACTAATCAGAGTGCATGTGAACAGTAAATCCCCAAGAGCTGCTGGTCCCCAGAGAAAGGGTGGGTCCAAAGGGAAGAAAGTGAAGGGTGCTGCTGTAGCGGAGAGACATCCACAAGGCTGGAATGGGAAAGGAAATCTGCAGAGGCCCTGGAATACTATCCGTTCTTTCTATTCTAAGCACCAACACCAGCCATTAGCCCAAATAGGCATGGTCTGCTCTGCACAGCCGATCTTCTCACTGGTAGTTTTCAAGACCAAAAGATGGGGCTAGAGCTGTGTATATGTATGGGACAATGCACACATGGACATGGCAGTAGAGAAAGCCAGCTGGAGGAATGAATGGGAAGAATTGAAGGTGTGAAGACCCTGGCGCCAAGGGAAGACTTCAAGAATCTCCCCAGGGTTAGCAGAGGTGACAGATTGGGCTGATGGTTCCATTTTTCACAGCATGTAAGGTAAGGAGTTGGGCTTCTTTTGAATACTAGTGTTGGTGGGCCAGCAGGCTGGAGGCCCTGGGAAGCCACATGAGGCAGCCCATTGGCTTGCCTGGGCAGGGATGATTTGGGTCTTACTTTGTTCTTCTGGCCATGCCTCTGTTTCTGGGTGGTATTAATATGACTGAGAAATCCTAGTTTTAGAGAGAACAATGCTTTTGAGGACAGCTCCCTAGCAGGGGTAGTTGGCCTCTGTCAGGTGCAAGGCACATTCTCTATTTCCCTATCCAAGATGGAAGAGAAAATAGAGGGACTTCAATTAACTGCTGGATTTCTCTCTCTCCCTCTCCCTCTTCTCTCTCTCTCTCTCTCTCTCTCTCTCTCTCTCTCTCTCTCTCTCTCTCTCATTCTCTCTCCTTCCTACCTTCCTCTTTTTTCCTTTTGAGACCAGGTCTCTGTATAACAGCCCTAGCTGTCCTGGCACTGTAGATCAGGCTGGCCTTGAACTCACAGAGATCTGCCTGCCTCTGCCTCCTGAGTGCTGGGATTAAAGGAGTGGGCCACCACCATCCAGCTGTCATCTGGGTTTCTTAATGATGTTTGCTTGTTTGTTTGAAATAAGTGAAAACACCCACCATTTTCTGTCAACATGTCCATACCGTAGGACAATTGTGAGACAAGTCAGCCCCCACTCCCCTCAAGCACAGAAACTCAGAGAACAACAACTGGACTTTCAGGTTGTTCTCCAAGCTCATTTCGCTTGTAAGGAGAGACAGTTCTGCCCAATGGCTCATTTCTTTCTTCCTCAAGCCACCTGGCATTTGCCACAACGCTAAGTTGTACTGATTAGTTACAACTGTTAATGTGACACAGCCGAGGAGCTCCTGAAAAGGCAGTCTTAAATGAGGAATTATCTAGATCTCATTGGCCTGTGGGTGGATCTGTGGGGAATTGGTCACTTGAGGTAGGAGGATCCAGCCCACTGTAGGTATACCATTTCATGGGCTAGGACCTGAGCTGCATATGAAGAAAGCCAGGCAGTGAAAAAAGTAAGCAAACAGATAGCAGGGGCATTCATTTCTCTGTGCTCTGGACTGTGGATATGATATGACTAGCTACTTGAGTCCCTGCCTCCACTTTTCTGAAATATTGGGGGGAGGGGTCAGGTATTTGTCACAGCAACATACATGAAGCTAGAACACAAGACCCAGCCATTATACTTCCTTAGAACTGAGTGATCATCCCTGACCTTTCTGAGAAGGCTCCCGGCATGTGAGACAATGGAAATGTGTGCTTAGGGCTGGGCTTGGCAGATCTTGAGGGGAATGTGTTGGAGCTCATAGGAGGTAGTGATGGCTGGGGCAAAGGTCTTTGGTGCACTGTGGGGGAAGAAGAAAAAGAAATGAGTAGTCAGAATCAAATCTGGGGACATTTAGAGTACCTCCATTGGGGACATTTAGAGTACCTCCCAAGCTAAAACCAAACCCAAGCCCCAAACCAGTTGATATGGAGAGACAAAAATCCAAAAGATCAGATATAATTAGGAAATGGTAGCAATATAACCTATATCATGTTGTGTTTGTCTGTTTGTTGTTTGTTTGTGTTTTTGTTTTTCTATAGATAGTTCACCACCTTGGGATGCACTTAAAATTGCTGCCGCTCTCTATAGTGAATTTTTAATTTTATTTTTTGAACTGCTTACTTGGCAAAAACTTGTTAGTGGGAAAGTTGTGAATTCCAAGTTTTATTTTGTCTTCTGAAAGCCAAAACCACATGCTATTTTGATCATCCACAGTTACTGGTTCTGGACTCATGTATGTAAGAGGGTATAAATATTAGAAAATTTTCTACCAAGACATACATGCAATTTTCTGTGCAGTTAGGTATTCTGAACATAGGAACTTAAGTTTTCCTTGGTAAACCAAGTTATCCGTAGTATACAAATGGCCTTTGGGAGCCCATTCCACATAGAGGGATACTCTATCAGCCTAAACACATGGGGGAGAGCCTAGTCCTGCTCCAAATGATGTGACAGGCTTTGAAGATCCCCCATGGAAGGCCTCACTCTCCCTGGGGAGCAGAAAAGGGATGGGGTGGGGATGGGAGGTCAGGGAAGGAGGGGAGGGAGAGGGAACTGGTATTGACATGTAAAACAAACTTGATTCTAAGTTAAATTTAAAAAAAAAGGAAAAAATATCTAAACATACCATCATCTTCATCCTGTAAGGGAAAAATAATAAAAGATATTAACTTATTATCAAAGTAGCATCCATCAACACTAACCCCCTCTTTTGTGAGCTGTGGAGGTTTTCAAGGAAAAGGCAGGCTTGTGTGAGACTTGGACTATACAATATCTTCCTGACCCTTTCCTTCATTCCCACGCTTCCCAATCTCCTTGCTAATTACTCTTGGGAATGAGGCTGCAAGACACCAGCCACCTAGGACCTCTCAGAGGGATGGGAGGTAGGCAATCCAGCCTGATGAACTTTAAGTAAAGATGCAGACTGCCATTTAACAGAATCTTTGGAGGTCAGACAGGGGCAGGGTAGATGGAGTACCACCTCCCCAGACCCTACACTGGTTGCCCTGTATCAGACATTTATTAAGTGGCATTTCAAACTTACATTCTCCCTTCTGTCCAGTCCCCGTCCAGGCCTGAAGTGAATTAAGCACAGGAGTGAGCATCAAGACTTTTGAAGAGCCAGCCCCAGAATATAATTTCAGTAAATTGCATAAGGAGAAATAAAACCCACTGAGCCATGCCCAAAAGAGAAGTTGCAAATGCCAGCAGAAACGCTGGGAAAAGGGAGAGAAAGGAAATTTGGCCATTGGATGCTCTGTTATCATTGCAAGCTGAGCTAGGCAAACCTTTGTTCTACAGAACTACTGTAGCAAATAATGACATAATTATCCACATATATATGTTTAGTCAGCTTTTAGTAGCTATTAAATTTCACTGAGTTGATGTTTTTCCAAGGAAATAAAAACTTTTTCAGTAATATTCTTCTTTGCTAGGGTTTTAAACCAGTCACCACAAGGTCTACCCTTCAAGTACTAATACATCAGTTGGCAAAGCTCTCTGTTCCAGGCTTTTCTGATAGGGCCTGGATGCCACTGGCTCAGATGAACAAGCCAATCCAACAGCTTTGACAATAGCTGTCTAAGGGCAACAGAGGCAGCTGTACTTCCTGGGAGAGGGGTAAAGAAGGGAGGAAAGAGAAGAACCATTTGTTGAGTAGCTAATGTCAGATGCTTCTCACGTCATCCTTCAGTTCTTCCCCTGTTTTGTTGAACATTTAAATGTTCTGGTAACTATGATCATCTTTCCTGAATTTTGATTTTGTTAAATGATTCATTAAAATGTTATGAAAGTCAATGACAGAGGATTTTCTTGGCATACCCTAGCCCTAGTTCTGACTGAATCCTCACATCAGCCAAGCCAGGTTACGAATCTTGATAGACAGATTAGGTAATAAACCTCACTGTTCCCTCCCAAAGTAGCCTGGCTGGTCCAAAACTCAGGAATAAGTGTGTCATTTTGTAAATCAGCCATACATGATTTTATTATAGCAGACATAAAGCAGCTAGTGCAGAGCTCAGTGGCTATAAAAGTGGTTGTGCTGTCCAGGTTTCAGTCTGACAAGGCAGGGAAAAGCCAACAAAGAGACCCTGTGAGACCCGATTCAGACAGGCTTCCCACAGCAGCCACCCTGTACTCCCCACTAAGCACTTCTACTCATTCCTCAACTAAACTCCATTCTCTTCAGGAACCTCAGTACTTTCCGTTTAGCCAGCAAGGATAGGAGTCCTTGCCCTCCAGAGCACCGGAGTTCAAAGGCCCCCTGCAAGCAGCACAAGAGAATTACCTTGGAACTAGTGGCTTCTTTGGTATCAAGGGTCCGCTCCTTTCACTCCTTTCATGTCTATCCACTGCTGGTGGAAAAGGAGGCTTTTGTATCTTGGGTAAATGCTCCCCATGAATCCTGCTGAGTGTGTAGAGAAAGGGATTTATTTGTAGAAACCACCTTAACGGGGCAGAGATCTGCAGGGCAACTCTGGGACTTGATACAATACAATAGAGACTTACCTTCCCACAGGGGCTGAGGGCTGCAAGACATTAGAGAAGACATGGAAGACATGTGAGGGTCCAGTACTTTCCAAAGAATAGGGATGAGACACACACACACACACATACACACACACACACACACACAAATCAAACAAAAACTAAAACCACAAACACACCAGCGAAACAGCTTACCTTGTCAGAAAATGTTGGTTTCTTTCCTGGGAATGAGAGAGAGCAGAACATTCAATGTGGGACAAGTGCAAGGTTGAGAAACAGATTCTGATGAACACCATGTCTGAGAGGTCTCCAGGGAAGGCTGACTTCAAACCTGGGCTTCAGATCTTGGAGGGACCCTTGCAGGGCACCTGGTCTTGGCTTAAAAATACTGTGCGGGGGCTCTGTGCTTCTTTCCAACGTATGACTTAGTATAACTTAACTGAGCATCAAATGATGGACATCTTGGGATTTTATTTTTCTTTCATTGGCTTAAGCATCTATTGTCCACCCCACTTTGATTTTTCAAGTAAATCTGTGTGACATGAAGGAGTAAATTTCCTTCAAATCCTGTGTTACACTTGATATTATGTAAAGAATGCCATTTAGTTTCTGAAAAAAAAAATAACCTGGGAACAAGGGCTTTAGAAGATTGTCCTGGCATGCCAGAAACCATTTAATGGGTAGTCATCATGGTCATGGTGTTGGTGGTGGTCATTGTGGTGATGGTAACAGTGGTGATAGTCATGGTGATGGTCATAGTTGTGGTGGTGGCAGTGATTTTTGTTTGCCCATTTGTTTGATTTCTTTTGGAATCAGGCATTACGCTGGCCTGGCCCTGTCATCTGGCAGAATGCACTCAGGCAGTACTCTGGTCAGCCCAGGGTTCCATGAGTACTAGTCTACAGGCAGGTGTAAAGGACCCTTTAAAAGACAGACTCCCGCCCACTACGTTCCCTTTGCTCTTTGCTTTCCTTGCTCTTTTGCTCATGCTCTTCTCCTCACCTCTCTCTCTCTCTCTCTCTCTCTCTCTCTCTCTCTCTCTCTCTCTCTCTCTCTCTCTCTCTCTCTTCTGTTCCCGGTGTCTCTGTGTCTCTTTTCCCTCCCCACTCACTCCCCTTCTAAATAAACTTCTCCCTCAAGCTCTGTCTTCCTGGTGCGTTATTCTCTCCGCCTCTGGCACCCTCTCCTGCTATGGAACCTGCTGTGCTCTCCCACGTGTTCCCTTACCCTGGGACCCCCACTAGGGACCACCCCTCCCTTCTCCAGCTTTATCCTATAACTGCAACAAAAGAACAACACAGATGACATTGAGCTCAAATATTTATACCTAAGAGCTCTTTAATGCCAAATTATTCAAAACGACTTAGGTCATTATCTGAAATCCTGTGGGTTAATAGGACCTGAGCATGTTGGATCTCAGTTTCCATGGCTGTGAAGTCAGTGTAGGTTTGCTGTGAGGGTCAGATGGTAATTTATATGCAAGGTTCGAGATGGGATGGGTGAGCACCACAAATGCTGGCTAGCTCCTCCCTCTTCCCCACCCTCCCATACTTAGCACAATAAGGGGCATGCTGATGCTGTTCATCCGGAATCACATATTCACATTCACAGTATCCCCTGAGTTCATGGTAGACCCAGGAAGGTCTAAGGAAATTGTGTACTTTGAATAACTCATTGGCCTAGGGAAGAACATTCTCACGGCACAGAAAAAGTTTAGTAACTATTTAGAGTTTGAGATTGAACAACTTCTTTAAAGGGGTACCCCCAAAAGTAAATTAGCATTCTTTGGCCAAAGTAGATTTTCCCTTTTCATAAAGTATTTGATTTATAAGAAGCAAACAAACAGAACCAAACAACATTCTTCTGATATGCATATATGTGCTTTGCATGTTAGGAGTTTTATGGTCAAAGTATAAGCATTAGTGGAAGAAGTTAGTTCCTTGGCAATGTCATGGACAAAGATGAAATTCAAAGATCAAACATGTTACCAGGAAATGATATTCCTCAAATGTCTGTAAAATAATACAGGGTAATTTTTTTTAAGGAATAAGTTGTGTGTCTGAAGATAACTGTGAAGTATTGACATCTATATTTCAGTTTCCCGATGTCCTGGCTCATGGTATTGAGCAGACTTAGAGTCCAGGTCAAGTCTATCTACTTTTTTTTTTTTTTTTTTTTGTGGTGGTGGTGGTTTTGTTTTTTGAGACAGGGTTTCTCTCTCTGTAACAGCCCTGGCTGTCCTGGAACTCCCTCGGTAGACCAGGCTGACCTTGAACTTACAGAGGTCTGCCTACCTCTGCCTCCTGAGTACTGGTATTAAAGGCATGTGCTACCATTGCCGGGCTCCTTTTTATATAATATGCATAGCTCTCTACTATGAACTCTAAACTCAATGGATAACACAGCTTCGAATGACTCAGCAGAGTTGACATGTGCATAAGGGGAAAAACAGCAAGCTGCAGCTTCCAATCCAAGATCTCAAAGTCATTTGGCCAAACGAGGAGAATGCTGAGGCCAAGAAAAGGCAAATGCCTTGTCCAGAGTCCTGCTGGAGAGTAGAAAGATGGAGCTGAGATCTGGGTTGCATTTCTACTCAGCTTAAGTGCTCTTTGCCCAGATCCACCTAGTCTTTAGCAGGTTCAAAGCCTAGGTCGTCAGTGTCATGCATTAGGATGCAAAAGAGCATCCACTTCAAAGTCAGAAAGATATGGGTTCAAATCTTAAGCCACCTATGCAAATTGAGCACACCATTCAACCTCTCTGAACTTGTTTCATCCTCTGAGAAGTGGGGCTGATAACAACCCCCCTTCACTAGCTTGGCCTAAGGATATAAAGTGCTTGACTCATACTAGGTGTTCAATAAATGGTAACTAAATTTTAGAGTTGACTTTTAAAAAGTAACTCTATATAAGGGTAGCTAGAGTTATGAGTAAATTATGAGAAAAGTCCATAGTGTTTAATTAACTGCACATATCCACAACAAAGAACAATTTTGAGATCTGACTGGTACTTGGAATTTTAGAAAACATTTTCTCCTAAGAGAAGAGCATCATTCTTTATGGCAAGACTGTGCCCTAAGGAAGTACCACCCCCTGGGTCAGCAAACTAAGAAATAGCAGTCAAAATAGCTGTCAATAGCTCTCCCAGAGCTCTGTCTCTCAGTCCATTTCCTTCCTGGGTACCAGATGTTTCCTTCTGTGCCTTCTGTGCCTTGGCCAAAGCATACACAGTTATAGCGGAGCAGGCACAGCCCAAGGTCTAAGAGCAGGGGATCTGGAATCAGGCTGATCTGCATTTAGGTCTCATCATCATTTGGTAGCTGAGCGATGTTGGAAAGTTACTGTCTTGTGCCTTGGTTTCTTTCTCTGTAAAATGAAGGTGCTTCTCACAACAGTACAGTAGTAAAATGTGATGGTGTGTATAAAAGAGTGCACCTAGTGTGCTATAAAGGTAGCCATTATTATTATTATTATGCATAAAATATGAGTAATACCAACCTAGTGTGAAGGGCTCTCGGTCAAGAGGCACCAATGAGCGGTCGAGGGGAGGTTTTGTGCTTCTGTCTATTGATGGAGCAGGCACTGGAGTGGAAAAGGCTAAGGTTAGTTAAAAGAAGAAAGCTACTGGCCAGGGATGAGGTGGGTAGATGGGCTAGTATTCAGAAAGCAACAATATGCTTACATTTTGCTGGTTTGTGGTTTCGACTTCTGCTGGGTTCTTCATGGTTCGGATGGGGTGGAGATAGTGGCTGCATGAAATTAAAAAAAAAATCAAATATTTGGAAACTTTCCCACATATGCTTCAGTAAGACTTGGTGGCAAATTCCTCCTGCAATCTGTCTGGATCTGCTCCACTTTTTCGACCTGAAGCTTGCATCCCGTTGGTCAGCTGAGCTGCTGAGGTCACCTCCTCTCTGAGTTTCCTCACTCTCTCATGCAAAGGGCCTTCTGCACAGCAAAGGACCAAGCAGAAACTCCTGCAAGCCCTCCAGGAGCTCTAGTCACATTGGCAATGAAACCCAAGTTCCTTGTGAAACCCTACATTTAATGCTCCTGCCTGTCTTTCCAAGAACATTTTATGTTCTTCTTGGATGCTCACAGGGTCCCCACATAAGGATCTCCTTACAGTTCTCACAAAGCCCAAAGCTCATATATACTCTTGGACATCTCTGTACTTCCTCTGTATGGGGTGTTCTCTCTGATTTCCACATGACTAGCCTGTCCTGTGCCAGCTCAGTATCAGTTTGGTATTCTCGGTCACGTCACCTGGTATTCTGCCTTCCTAACCACATATCCAAATCGCTTCTACATATACTTGTTTATCGCCAAAACTTCCTGAAATTCAGGGCATTCTATGCTACTCATATTCTTCCCCTGGCATGGAGAACACTGCTGTGTAGTAGCTACCTAATCAGTATCTTAGCTGTGTGATGAGCAAAGTCTGCCTCCCAGTGGTGCAGGAGAAATTCTCCAGACTTCAAAAACAAAATGCCTGTGTAGACACATGAGGTTCCATGAAGCCCCTTTGCAAAGGTGCTATGCCAGCAGGAGGGGGCTATCTATGAGAAGGAGGTCCTCCCTACTGTGAGGTCTCCATATTTGCCAAGACCCTCCTCCCACCCTAACCTTCCCTCTTGGTCCCGAGACTTTGGCACTTGCCAGTTGTTAACATGCGTTGGACACTTGAGGAAAGAGCACATCGCCAGATACTGACTCCTTTAGACTCCTTTAGCTCTGTGTGAACTCCATAGGAGCTGGACTGAGTGCTGAAAGGAAAAGGGAGCTTGCTATCAATGTTTCTCCCCGCTTCATAGCATTGGAAATTGGGTCTGAAGGCATTCATCCCTGAAATTTTGGGATCTTGCCAGCAGGTGGCGCAATACAGCTTGCAGGAGGGAGGCCTAGAATGGGAACCTTGGCAACACCAGGAAATGTGGGACCAGTGTTAGTTCTCCCACGGTTAAACAGATGAACACTGGAAGAGGAGTCCCTCATTAAACACGCAGTTCGTATTGTTTATGGTACCAAAAATGCTAATAAACATTACGACATAAATAGAAACTGCGTATATATCACTACAAAGTCGACCCGCTGAGTGGAGCGTGTGGGTGTGCATCTTCCCTGGCTTAACCGTTTCTTATAAACGTAGAATCAGGTAAAGATGCTTAGTTCTTTTTCTGTCCGCTAAAGAAGGAATTGCCATGGATACAAAGTGGCCTGGAAGAAAGGGAAGAGGTTTACCGAGTGATTCCGGCCTGTTGGCAGAGGAGGGAGGGCGGCCATTGGTCTCTGTGGGGGCACCGGAGGCTGCTGGGAGACCTTGCTGGTGGGAGGCCGGTCTGTGGAAACACAATATTCAAATGAAAGAAGAAATGGAAATTTGAAGTGAGTGTTGTCTAAATGCAGGGTTCTCTTGGAACAGGTTGCGCTTGAGGTACAAAGAAAGAGCTTGTCCTCCAGACCTCCACTGGTATCAGAGTGAGTGGGAGCTATAGTCAGACCCAGCCTGGGTCTTTCAGGAGGCGGGAAGTCCGTGACCCCTGTCTGCCCATCTTCTTGCCCAAGTTAGTTAGATCCTTCATATACACGGGAATAATTCTCATCATACCTCCCACTAACAGGTAACATCTGAGTCACTGCCAACTAGAGGAAGCCTCTATAGAGTTACCCCAGTGAGAGCTTTCAGATACAATCCTACATGTGCAGATGTACACGTGTACACATGCATGCACACATAAAGTGTGTATGTTCATATGCATGCGCACACGTGTGTACCTAGAAACGTGTGTGTGCTGATGTTTGTGCATGCACAGAGGCACACGTGTGTCTGCCTGCATACATATGCACACAAAGATGCTTATCAGTGTTACATTAGTTACCACCCCTCAAGGGCGCCTTGTTCTGTTGCTTTGTTCCCTTCACAAATGTTCTGGGCTGCCTCACCCTCCTACTTCCTCCTTTTGTCTGTTTCCTCCCTTAAAGGAGGAGCTGGCCCCCAATTCTGTTACCAAGTTAAATAGCATGGCCTCACTTTAGTGGCCACAGAACTACCTGAGACCAGCTCCACAAGTTTGGGTCTCTTACCCCTTTGGCTGGGAAAGGCCAGAGTGGAGCTGTGAGGTGTGGGCAGCAAGTGGCCCAGGGCCTCCTAGTATCTTGTGCTTTTGGCCCTAGCCCTTTATCACACTTACAGAAACCCTAACTAAGACGCTGACTGTGTTAGTTTTAGGAGGTTTGTGGAAAGAGTCTGGAACTTGGGGTTGAAAATAGCACTGAGAGCTCTCTTGATCCACCCTTTTGTCAGCTCTGGGAAGAATGTCATTCCCCTTCCAGAAGGAATGGGCTCAGGGCAAGCCTGGTCCTTTCCACACCACAGGCCACCCTTCAGCTCCTCTGACATGTCATGTTCCTTTGGACCTCAGGTCCTTGTGCAGCCATTTCAACTGCTTCAAATGGTCCTCCCTTACCCCATTTAGTCTCACTTAAGCAATTTTTACTTGTTCTCAATATCAGCCAAAGACTATCACTCAAATATCACAGGAGCAAACCTATTTATCATGCTGGCTTGATGAAATAACATGATGCAATTGTTTGGTGTTACCTCACCCCATAGACTGAGAGTGCTGGAGTATGAGGTCTTGCTCACTCACCAACATGGTTTCCCTTTTCTGCCCCACTCTGCTAAGTCTGGAACAGCCTTGGTGGTGGTTGAAGCTCCCTGTCTGTTAGTTTTAGTGATCTGTCCTTCAATGCACACAGTGAGGGGGTGGAATGGAGTCAGAAGCAGAGAACAACATGGCCCCAAGGGTTAGACATGTCACTCCCTGAGTGCAGAGGAAGCTGAGTGTGCCTATATGTTCATTTTCTGTTATCTCCTCTACTAGAAAGTAATCCCCACATGACAAATGTGCATCTTCCTTCCTGCTAGCTTCCGACACGTGCTGTCTGGCTCACAATAGGAGATGAGTAATATTTGTGACTTTGTGAATTAATGGATGAGTAAACGAGGAAGGATATATGGGTACAGAGAAACAGGCAGTGGGAGAACATCCTAGCACCTGTCTCATTGTAAAGGTGGAACCAACCCCTCTGAACACCTTCACATCATTGTGACAATATATAGATGGCAGTGCCACATAGCTGCCCTCTTTCTGGACGCCTTTACCCTCTGTTCTATCATTAGCCTGAGGGGTAGATTCTTTACTCTCAAGCCACACAGTTTTCCAGAAGCTGAGCAGGAATCAGCACCCAGAGAGGCTCAATGGGGCAGCTTGTGCCAGGGCTGCTAGAGCCAGCAAAACTCTCACCGATGTACATGGAGTTGGTGTTGGGGAAAGGCTTGGCAGGCAGGATGGAGTTCTGCAGTGCCTCCTCATCATTAGAGGGTGGAGGTTCATAATCAGCTGCATCATCCACCAGAGCCTCTTCCTCCTCATTGGGGGACTCATAGTCACCGTCGTCCTCCCCTTCCGGATCATCGTCATTGGGACTTTCATAATCATCTTCTTCCTGCCAGCACAGTGGAGGAACAGCACAGCTTGTACAGATGTCACAGGATGACATTTTGCAGTATGGATTCTGTGAGACCACTACCAGGGATCCCAGTATCCTCCCAGCAGATTTGTCCGAGAAGGGAACTACAAGACTGGAAACCTATGCTTTGGGGAAAGGATTGAAGCCTAACCTCTGCCTGAGCACAGGAGGGCTAAAGACAAACCCTGGCAGGATACAGCTTCCATGCTGAAGTACAAACATATAACTTGTTTCTTTTGCACAAAATAAATCTGGTGCATTCCTTTGTTTCCCCATAAAATCCATACTTTAACAGAGGTCATTTCTTTTCTAATGAAATGCTTAATTTTTGCAAGTATCCCCATGAGATAAGGGGCAGTCTCTCCATGAAAGACCTAGAGGTTGTCGCTTACCAGAAAGATAACTTAGACTGAGGGTTGGGTAGCCTGGGCCCCAGATCTGCCTCTACCTGGCAAAGAACTTTGCACAAGGCACACCCTCCAGCAGGCTCCCTGGCTTTCTCTTCCATCATAGAGCTTTATCTCCCACCTGGCTTCATGTATGGTGACAGTGTGTGGTTTGAGAAGAAGGAATGCACAATCCACCAGACTCTGGAAGATGTTGTCACTGTGACCCTTCTAATGTGAAACTGGTGTGGGAGCCTTTCCAGTGCTAACACTTCGTTGTGGAATGATTTTCCCTCTGTGTCACCAGTGGTGACTGAAGTCCATGAGAAGAAAAGTTGCAGTAGCATAGATTTCTGGGAAAGACAGAAGAAAGCGAAGGGTTGCTGTTGGGCATGGTAGTGGAGAGCAATGGTGTGGCCAGAAAGTTGCAACCCCTGTATTCTTCAAGGAAGCTCTATTGTCACAGCTGAACCCACTCATTGGCTCACTGCCCCTGATGGCTTCTGTGTCATGGGGGCAGAGCTTTGGATTCCCAAAGCTGGATATATTTACTGCCTGACCCTTTCTGGGCCCTGGGATGTTTCAATGCCTTGTTGGTAGAGGAGGCTTGTTCATTTTTCAGCACTATGATCAGTGCAGAGCCACTCTGGCCATCACTATAAAGGTGATTTACCCCAAGCCATACTCACAAAGGATGACCAGCCGCCATTGTCTTCTTCATGGCTTTCTGTGGAGGAGATAACACCACCATCAGCACCTAATAGAGTCAGCACAGCTCTCCCTTCCAGTGTCCATCACAGGCCCCATCCTTCATTTTTCATACTCGGGGCCAGCAAGTGTTGTATTGAGCACAATTTACCCCAGCAGAACTCATGCTAAATCCTACTGTGATGGTACTGAGGGGCGGCAGGATCTTTAAGAGATAATTAGGTCAAAGGGACCTTTTGAATGGATTGATATCTTCCTCCATATTGGAAGGACATCTTTCTCTAGAGACTAACTTGGGTCTCTCCAGACTGGAGTGGGTGTCACAGGGGTCATCTGGGACTTGAAACTAGATGACTTGTTATAAGCACAGTGCTGGTATTTTGGTCACTTATACATATGTGGGTCTCATTTTCCCACATGATGCTATTTGTAATGAAGTTGAATTTAACCAGAAGTTGACCTGACTGCTGCACCATGCTCTTGGACCTGTAGAACTTTGAAATCAATAAACCTCTTTCCTTCATAAAGTAGCCAGCTTTAGGAGCAGTGTTACAGAGGCAGAAAACATACTGACTGAGAGAGCAACTTTTGCCCATATCATTTCTATCTGACGAGGTCATTCTACCAGGGATCGACAGTGGTACCAAATCTTCCTTGTGTGTATTTAAAAGTTACCTAGGTTTGCTTTCATAGAGTAAGACCTGGGGCCTTATTCTCAGAGTTTCTTAATAAACAGGGCTGGGTGTGGTTCAGGAACCCAAATGTAGGTGTTTTATGCAATTGAACAATGGAAAACTGCTTGAAAGACTCAGAAATGAGACTCTGGCTCAGCTCAGATGCTCACAGCTGAGTCAGGCTCTCTCACAGAGAAGCAGAGTTGGGCAGTGTAGCTCTAGAGTGACATGCTTCCTCCTGTCAGTAGAAACCCCAACTCTTTTATGATGAAGACCTGGCTGATAAGTTAATTTGTCGGGTCCCATACAAGGCACTCAAGGAGTCCAGAACTGAAGCATACAGCACCTCCTAAAGCGGGTCTCCCAGCCCCGATACCCTTACCTGTTTCCTCTTGAAATCGAGGAACCTGGGGTCTGCAAAGGCAAACAACAGCATCTCAGTAGCCTGTCATCTAAGAGCATCCACTTTCCTCTGTCTAGCCCTCTGCACCAGTCAGGATTATGTCTCCTTGCCCAAGACTTGTCCCCTTGTTGCTTGACAACCAGAGTTGAGCAAGCTGTCCCTCAGCTTCTGGAGACCACTAAAGCCACACTGATGTCACAGCTAGGAGCTTGTGGCTCTTTAATGATCTAGGGAATATTCCCCTGATGACCTGGACTCAAGGGCAAAATGTTCATCAGGGAGAGGGAACCCTTCCACTCCTGAGGCCCTCTCTTCATGACCCCTGGGACAGAGGGGACCATCATAGGTGAAGCAGAAGGAACAAAACTAGTACTACAAAGTCTTTTAAGGGCTCAACTTGGGATTTTAGTTCTTGAGTTCTCTTGTAGCAGTGTCTAGGCTGCCCACTCACTTGCGTGTAAAAATGCTCCTTCTCTCTTCATTCTTGTTGATATCTTGACTTAACTTACTGAGAATCCTATAAGATAAAGACACACATGAAGAGACAAAGCAATCCCCTCCATGCTGCCACCTCCCTGCTGTTCTCTGATCCACATGACTTCTAAGCACGTAGGCCAAACTTGGCCAATCTTCTTTTTGTGTCCATCCTCCCCAAGCCACCCTCACACCTTCAACTCCATTTTTTGCTCCCACCTAGCTAGAACTTATCTCCTCTTTATTCAGGACCTGACCCAGTACTGACCACTTCTCCTGCTCCCATGATGCCTTCTGTCATCTGCTGACCTATGTCTACTGGGCCTTCAAAATCTGCCACTCTGCTCTGAAGGTTTGGAGCCCTAGGATCTGCACAATGGAGCTGTTTCACTTACTGTTCTGACATTCATAGTGTGGTTGCTTGAGCCTGTTGTTCATTCCTTTGCAGACATCTTGCTCACACAAGTGATCAAACCATATGCTAGACCCCGAGACCCATGTGTATTTCTTGTTACAAACTCCAATGAACTAGTATTCATCCTGTTATCTCCCCACACCATCTTCCCTCTTTGAATCTGCTTAGTGACATGGTATGATGGTCAGTCTTGCATATCAATGTAATTGGATTGAAAGACACCAAGCACACCTGGTATGTCTGTGAAACTGTTTCCAGAGATGAGTGTATTGTGAGTACTCTGACTTAAGCCAGGATGGGAGGGGTGAGGGGTGGGTGGACTCATTTGAGGTAGGGCAGAAAAATGGGTAAATTATGGAGACATCGGAGAGGAGCCCCTCACCCAGGATCTGCTCAGAGACTCTCTCCAGTTAAAGGCAAGAACTCCAAGCAGAGTTAGCAACATTTGCTGCAACAGCTGAGCCTTCAGTGACATTTTATAGAGATATTTTAATAAGAATATTAAAATAGCAACAAAGCATGCTTAAGACCTATGTGTAAATGACCTTTCTCTCATCCCAGCTGAAAACCTACAGTTTTCCAGGAATCTCACTAGAAAACCACTACCCCCCCCCCAGCCCCTGGCAGTGAAGGATACCTCTTCACCTCCTTGCACGATCTTGTGGCATATAGTTTATTTTTATAATATTGTAACACTATGGAACCATCCCATAGTCTCCCTTATCAAAAACAGGGCAGTGTCTGCTCTTAGTAATCATGTGAGCTGTAACTTGAGAGAAACCAGTGGATTATGTGGGGACTGCTAAGATACATAAGGGCTACTGTCCTTGAAAAATCCCATGCCCACCTTCTCTGTGTGTCTTCTTCCTCTGTGGGCATCTCCTTCTAGTAACTTCTATGTTTAAATCTATGTTAAACATCCTCTTATTTTATAATAAACACAAACTCTGCTTCACATTGACTTATCCTGAAAATCTTTTCTGCAGTGAAGTCAAAGATGGACTTTGCCAGAGTGGAGGTCCCTGAAGGATAAGGGGACTCTTCAGGCCACTGCGGGCTGTTGTGGTTTGTTGTGGTTTGGTTTGTTCTAATACACTTATGCATGCTGATCTTGAGCAGGCTGTTGGGAGGAGGGGAAGCTTCAGAAAGTGACAGCCAGGTTGGAAGTTCGTGGTTTCTAGAGGTAGGACCCTGAAGAGCATTTTAGACAGGGTGTTTTCTCCTGTCTCTTTCTACATTCTGGCTACCAGGAAGCTAGCGAATGAATGACCCTGTGCTTCCGTACCCTTCCATGCTGATTTGTTGCCTCATCTCAGACCCAGAAGCCACAGGGTCAAAGAGAATGCTCTGAACCTCTGAAGCCATGAGCCAAAAGAAACCCTTCCTTTAAGTTATTTTACTTGGGTGTTTTGTCACAGTGATACAGACAAGTTGGTCTAGTACACACTTGCTAGATTAGCAAAGGCAGTCCTTAATTTTATTCCTTCTTTACTCCCAGGGGCTTCTCAGTACCCTCCTATCTCATCTGAGTGACAGGGCAGATGAATTTGAGAAGCCTAACGACTGGAGAGTACAGACATATTAGGCAATAGTAAGGCTTCCATAGTAATGCCATTGTCAGAACTTTAGACTTTAATCACCACCTAGAGCAGAGGTTCTCAACCTGTGGGTCATGACCCCTTTGGAAAGTCAAATGACCTTTTCACAGGGGTGGTATATCAAATATTCTGCATATCAGACATTCACATTACAATTCTTAAAAGTAGAAAAATGTAGTTATGAAGTAGCAACAAAAATAATTTCATGGTTGGGGGTCAGCACAACATGGGGAACTGCATTGAAGGATAGAAACATTAGGAAGGCAGAGAACCAACCACTGGTCTAAAGGGAGAGGTGCTTTAAAGTGCAGGGGTGGGGGTGGAGAGCATTTCCTAGTTCTCTGTAAACACAGCATCAGGACATTTATGACACATGACCCAGTAGTGGTTGTTTAGAACAGACAGCAGGCATGCTAGAGGTCTCTGAATGAATCATCAGAGGAGAGTATATCCTGCATCCTGCCAGGATAAGTGGTAATAGCTACAGCAGCCACTCCTCTTCTGTCATCTGCTTAGCTAAGAGCATTAGTGACAATGGGTCTTCTAAGGGTCAAGAATTCTGCTGGGCATGCAACATCAAAAGCAACTCTGCTCTTGAACTTGATAGGTTGTAGAGAGAAGCAGACGAGGGGGCTGGGGAGATGGCTCAATCAGCAAAGTGCATGCTGTGCAAAATGTGGGGACCTGAGGTGTAAGTTCAGTTGATCCCCACCCCTCACTTCAAATCCCAACACTGGGGAGGCAAAGGCAGGCAGAGCCCGGGGTTCACTGGGTGGCCAGCTGAGGCCCTAGATCACAATAAGAGACCTGCTCACAAAACCAGGTGGCTTACTCTTGAGGAATGAAAACTGAAGTTAATATTTTATCTTTATACACATCACACACATGCACATGATCAAGTGTGCAAGCACACACACACATATCTACATGCATATGCATATGCATAAAAATATAAGAGAAAAGCAAGTGTGTGTGTATGAAATAGAGATAGGGAGAGAGAGAGAGAGAGAGAGAGAGAGAGAGAGAGACATAAAGAGAGAGAATGTTTATTTGAGAAGACAGGGTCCCACTGTGTAATCCAGGCTTCTGAAAATTGAAATCATACTGTTTCAATCTCCCAAGGGGTGGGATTAAAGGTGCATGTTATCACCTAGATAACTATGAATATTTAAGGAAGTAATATTCAAAGTAAGAAGGCACCACCTATGTTCATGTGATGGTAGTGGGAGCTTGGACAGGAGGACAGTGGAGTTACAATTTAAAACTACCAGCCCTCAGCAATTAGGTGCCATTTCAGCGAGGGCTTGGAGGAAGGTGGAGTTGAGCCAGAACCCATGTTCCCATTCCACAGAGCTTAGCTGGGCTTTGACTGGCTCCCACATGTGTTGACTCTTAAAAAACAACAATAAAAAAAATCCACTACTCTTTGTTATGTCTATTCTCACCAGTATCTCTAACAGCCAGGTTGGGGCTCTTGGGGCTCTAGCTGGAAAGGAAGGAAATGCTAAACCACAGGCCCCACACAGCAGCAAAGAGCCCAGAAAGGGCAGGATGGCTCAGGCAGTCCACAAACAGCAAACTTGGCCTCCCAGAGTCCTGCTACTGAGGCAGGCTCCTGAGAACTCTTCCAAGCCTCCTGGGCCCCTGCTGGTGGCAGGCTCTTGCCTTGCTAGCAAGAGGGCAGTGAAGTGGCTGCTACCTTGAGCAAACTTACAAAGTTGTACCCCACCCTCGGTGGATCAAATGACAGTGAATGGCAGAGATGACTCACTCTCCCCACACACCCCCAACCTTCTATCTCTGACTAGAGAAGGAGGAAGAGAAGGCTATGCATCCGCACAGTAGCTCCTTCTACTTCCGTCATTATCGGAGGGTGGTGCTGGCCCTTGGGAGGGACTGAACCTCTCAAAGGAAGTCAATCCATTGCAAGACGGTGCATCACATAATGGCCTAGGTTCCAGCCCAAATGCATCTCTAACTTGCTGTGTGACAAAGCCAGTCTTCATCATCACATTCTTTCCCAAGGATGCACAAGGGACAGAAACTGCAGGCATGATATTGTGACCATAATGTCCCTCCCCAAGGCCAGAACCTGTTTGTCTTCAACAAAAGCATTTTCCACCCAAAGGTGGCAGACTTTTTGTTTGTTTGCTTTAATTTTTGTACTAACTAGGTTATATATGAATACTTGACTGCCTCCTCATCAGGATGACTGACCTAGGTGCATCTGTGACATAGATTTCCAGGTCTACCCTGCAATCCACGGAATCCACAGGGGCTAGGAGCTGGAGAGTAAATCCCAGCAGCCCTGAGGTGGCTCTAATGATGAGACCATCTTGCAAAGTAACTTCTGTTACTCTGGATTTCAATGGTGATTGTTATTTATGAGAGAGAGAGGGAGAGACAGAGAGAGAGAGAGAGAGAGAGAGAGAGAGAGAGAGAGAGAGAGAGAGAGGAGAAGGAACTTTGTAATTACAAAGGGAATAAGGTTGGTGTGGAGTGAACGAGACAAAAGGGCCTCATCTATCTGGGATCTGCCATCACAGTTCACTTCTTAATAGTCCATTCTAGTTTACGTATCTCACCTGTGGGCCTGGAATCAAATGTGATGACAGCTCCAGAAGAAAGAGATGGAAAGGGAAGAAGAAGAGAGCACAAATGTGCAGGGGGGCAGAGAGGGGGAAAGAAAGAGGAGGGGCAGCAGGACACACAATGCGCAGGAAGAGTAGGTACTGCCTCAAGCAAATGCAAGCTTTGTTGCCTCTCTTGCTCCATTTGTAGCTGCTCAGCCAATGAGGGTGAGACAAAGGCAGTTTCTTGTCATAGTTGGCCAGTAAAAGTGTTTCCTATCCCCATTTTGGTTGGCATACTCCTTGAAAGGCTGCACTCTTGCCTGGGGGTCCCTCCAGAACTGCATGCTCCAGGCCCAGGATGGGATAGACATCTGCACTTGTCTGGGGTGGCATTGTTAGAATGTCTCCCCCAACCCTGGCCTCAGCCCTCCTCCCAGAACACCTTGACACCATCATG